GCTTTCCTCGACCGTATGAAACAAGAAAGGAAAACACCCTACAGGAACCCTTCACCACCCCACACACACTTTCCTTGCCCTAGACACCCCAAGCAAGAATTGAAGAAGCGAGAGACGACCACGACCTACGGGCGTTGGTCCTATTACAAATGTCCCGTACCCGATTGTTTTGCCTGTGCAGGCGTCGACAACATCCAATGTCGTGTGGCTTCCAGCCAACGTATGCTGAACGACTACTATATCCAACTACCCGTGGAAGAAATGAAATGCTATTGCCAAAGACCTCTCATCATGAGCATGTCCAGATCAGAAAAGAACCCGGGCAAGTTTTACTTCAGGTGTTCCAAGCGCCAATGTGATATCTTTCAAGGGGCCAATGAATACCCACAAACCAAGGTCAGAGCTTGGTTAGCAGAGGGTCGAAAACTTTGGTTGGAACCCCACCCACTTCAACCAAGTGTAGATAGAAGAGATGCTCTGGGTCCCTTCGAAGGGAACTGGGATCGAAGCGATTTGAGCCCGCGGATCAAGTTCAACCTAGACCGACTACTCCGAGAGAACACTCCCCAACGATTTCACGATCAGTACCTGTTTAATGAATTCACCCCCAAAGAACGTTTGTACCTGGAACGAAGAGGTTTGCCTCCACCCATAAAAGACAGTCCATAAAAGGCAGTCAAACACAAAGTGAACCATCAGTTTCAAACATGGAAGCGTTACAGAACAATCTTTGCTTCATTTTGGATTTAGAAGGTTTTTTCATCAACAAGACCTTTCAAGTCAGAGAACTGGGTTATTACGCTTGGAACCGAGAATACGGAAGACACGCTTTCAGCATACCCATCCCTTACAAAGAGTTGAGCGTACAAGACAAACGAACAGTGAATTTTGTGATAAGGAAGATCCACGGATTGAGCTATCAACCCCTCGAGGCTGAACACTACCAAAAACCCGAAGTCCTCGAAGACCTGATCAAGAATATCTACTCAAGGCACAAAATCGGACAGAGAACCGTGGTGGGGTACAAGGGAGGACATGTGGAAAAAGATTTGTTAATGAAACTGAACATTCCTTCGCTCGATCTTGAAACATTGGGTTGTCCCAAATACGACAAACTCAGACACATCATTTCAAGTGAACGTGTATTACCCAGCTGCGGTTTTCATTAAGATGAGAGTATCCATCATTGTCCTGTTACAGAATGTCATGCTTTCTGGTTTTGGGTGACAAACATTTTCGGTAAACAATAAAGTTTTTTCTCACACATTGTGTCTTCAAAATTTACTAAAGTAATAAAATAATTTGTCCATGTCCGACAGGCGCACTTCCATCTCTTCTTTGGTCCTCTGCCTCTCCACACTGTTCCCATACTCCTCGTGAATCTTCATCAAACGCCCTCGGCACTTTTGAAATTTCAGGATCACCCTCAAGATCAGATTCATCTTCCTCTTCAATAAGTCCCGCGCACCGGTACTCCTAGCGCGTCGCTTCTTGGACTGCACGCGTTCCCACTCCTCACTCAGTCGCTGCAAAGTAGTGTCCAGCTCCGCCAAAATAGTACCGTACGCTCGCGTAATCGGCATTTTGAAAAACAGAGAATCACGCGCCGCGCCTCCTCTTAATCAACACCTCCACCAATCATAACCCTCCTTCTCAATGACGTCGCCAGAGTAGGGATACCCCCATCCCCCCTCCACCAGGCACGCGAAAATCACATGACCCCTATCTATTTAAACGAGCGAGCTACGACACATTCCGTGATTTTCCATCATGGCTTACAGGCAAAGTCTACGATTGCAAGGCATGGGACCCGAACTCTCCCCGTTCAAAGACCTATGTTTCATCTGTTTATTGGAATTAGACATCCAATCCGTCGTACGTTGTCGCGTCATGCCATGTTGCGGAAAATTTATACACAAACGATGCTTCAAAAAGGCCAACGAACAAAACTTCCAATGTGGACATTGTCGACGTCCCTCCCTCGACGATAGTAACGACACCATCAGCGTTGAAGACGGGGTCGATCTCCGAGCCAACGAACACTTGGCGGACAGTCCCGACAACCCACCGATTTGGGTGTCACCCCCCGACCTCGCGGGTCCCACGCCCTTGGAACGCGCACGAAACGCCATCAGTGATAACCGAACCAGCACCATGGCCCACACCCTTCACCAAGAAGAGAGCAGCTCCTGGGATATTCTGCGTTTTCCCATCGATCCTTTAGTTTGGTATATCTTCTCGGTCCAACTGGATTGGTTCATCTCCACTTCCCCCGATGGAAGAAATCCACTGTACATTCACGCGTCAGTCAACACCCCCATCGAACCCACCCAAGAAGTCCGAAAAACATTTTACCGATTGGTCAACAAAGTCATTCCCGGGGCCGTGTATCCCTACCTGCAAGAAATCGTGCACCGAGAACGCTTCATTCACATTGCCGACTACGAAAGGGAAGGACAAAGGTACGCTTACAACAGAAACGAAGTCACCGTCACGCACATTCGTATGACGCGATTTTGGTCGCCCGAATACTATGAAGACGCTCCCTACACCAGCAAATTAACCTGGACGCAAGTGGGATTGTAAATAAAAAATTTTGAAAAAAATCTGATCACGTGGTCTGTCTGTGTGAAGTCACTTCCGGTCCCCAGACCCTCACGGCATCGCGTCCAACCCTGCGCGGCCAACTTTGACCGAGCTCGCCCCAGTCTTTCCTATTGCAAACTAATGCAACTGCTGACCTGACCCGAAAATCCTGCACGCTGATTGGTCCAGACGCGTCACATGACCAAAATAACGCGATCTGATTGGTTGGGTCTCAAACCGCCCCCTTATACTACTAATTTCAAACTTTGCACGAAATTTCACACCGGTGAAAAAATCTTGGAGAACTCAACTGGTGAACTAAATGCAACTAACATAAAGTAGTTCGAAATAAATCTGTTCTTTAATACATCTTTCCTTGCCTAGTATCTGAGTTACTCACTCGTTCGTTCGTTAGATTTTTTACGAATGGTTTGTAGACGGCGCGTAAACCAATTCAATGACAAAGTTGGGTAAACAAACCCACTCGGAAGCCAATTTACCGCAGGAAAAAAGATAAGCACGTTATTGGCCGGCTTATAGTCGGTCCGTGTAGTTAAACACTGTGACCTCGAGTTTGAAAATGCTGCCCGAGGCCGCAGGCCGCGGGCAGCATTTTCAAGACTTCGCCCACAGTTTTTCCCAATACGGACCTCCCAGCCGGCCAATAACATATATATGTGCTACACGTTTCCTCCCGGGAAAGGATATTTTCAAAACAATAGTTTATCTAATGCTACTCGTCACCACGCAACTCAGGCAATCAGTAAAAATATGTCTTATATATTAAACGAGGGCCTATGCGGTGGAAGATTGTGTCAAAAGTTTTTCTTCTCCTTTGTTTTGCTAAACGTTGCCATAGTTCAAGACAAGATGAACGATAAGTGGGTTCCCACAAACAGGCCTTATTCTTAAGAAAATCATTCTCAAATTCTTTTGATGATAATGTTATTAGAGTTGTTTCGTGGATGTTTTTTTTGTAAGGCGGCCTGGGTTGTGCACGTGTGCAGAATCAAAATTCTCCGCACTTTGGACTTGGGCTTTCTCGCGCGCTTTTATTGTCATTACCAGTATCCTAAAACAACATATTAACCTTGCTATCAGTAAATAATCTCCATGGGTACCTTGCGACACTTACTGCAGAAGATTATTGGCTGTCGACAACACTTTTTAATAAACACTTGTCACACAAAAATGGGCAATTAAAAAAAAAAGAAGGGCCACGAAGGAAACTACATGAGGGTAAACTAACTACTTATTTTGTCTGTGCCTTTCAAAGGTCTTTGAAATAGTTTACGTTCGCAAGGAAACCACAGAAGACAAACGAAACTGCCAAGCAGCATTCATGTTGGTCGAAAATATGTATCGACGATTCTTCTATTTTTACTAGCATTGAAGGAAAGGTAACAGCAGCAGTTGCAGGCGAGAGTTCTTTATCGGGTGTGTCCTTTTTCAACGATTATCTTTCTTGTTTGCCATTTTATTTCGAGCACTATTAATTGTTTTAGCAAACAAGGAGCAAATATTTGATAAACAGTGACAAGCACAAAGAAAGTTCAGGAGAAATCAGTCGTTCCCTTTAATGTCTGTTTATTAAGAGTGAATGCCTATAAAAATCGACTTGAATCGCTTATCAATGGCACAAGTCGACAAATTGATTTCGCTTGTATTTTGTCCGTAGATAGGTCCTAGTAAGAATAGAAACGGACCATAGTTAGTTTCAGCTAATACAGCTTTCTTTGGTAGAAATATGCCAAAAACGATTTCGCCCCGATTAGGCTCAGTAGTGAAGGACGCTTATAGGGGCCGTAACCAATCAGGAGGCAGGGATTATACCACGTGACCTTGATCTTCCCATACATTCTTTTAAATTTTCAAATCCAAGATGGCGCATTGGTGGGGCAAATATGGCGCCCACCGGAAATGAGGTCACGCGCATGCCCAAATAAGGCGAGAGACAGGAAGTGAATTTCAAAATTGATTTTTATTGCTACAGGAAGTAAAAATTACATTGGTGTGTATCCGTACGGAAATGACATGAAAGTGTTCGGGTCTACGACACGTTTGTCGAAGACGAGTCCGTATCGTTTGGTCCGTGTGATGACTTTGAGATGTTTTGTGGCTGGGTTTCTCCAGAAGAAGTTCGGGTTGACGACGTTGATATTGCGTCGTTCATCGAGAGGTTGTGTGATTTCGTCGAGGAGATTTTGTCGCATGACGTCATAATTGAGTTGTCTGGATCCTCGTACATTAAGTGAGAATCCTCTGACTTTGCAGCATACTTTGCCTTGGTTGGTTTTGTAGCCGTAATTTTTGGGTCCAGCAGCAGTGAAATCGGCGATGAAATCTTCATCGTCGAGTTCGTTGGTAATCTCCCCCAGGTAATCGCCTAGCGGAACATCTGCTTGACCTAGTTTGTGCGAGTAGATCACGGAGTCGGTGTCAAAGTAGAGAACTTGTTGCTTTAACTGTTCCAAGTAGGTGTACAATTTGAGACAAGCCCAACAGGTGGTGAAAGCTGCGACGAAGATGTTGATTCGTCCGTTGTCGGGTTGGTTGTCTTTGAGTTCGGCGTAGACGACCTCTAGAGCTTCGTCGTTGGCGATTCTGACTTGTCGTATGTCGTTGAAGGGGTTGGAAACGAGGGCAAAGAGTTGCGCTGCGTTGTAGACGAC